TTAGGTACCAGGGATCGAACTCATGTCCTTGTGCTTGCAAGGCAGGTGGGGGAACCACTGAACTAAATCCCCGGCCCTGCACTATAGTATTTTAGAGTGAGGTCACAGAAATCACAGGGTGCTTCCCGTTGTAGAACTCCGGAGTCACAGCTCATCAACTCTGGGCAGAGGACTGGTTACGGCAGTGTCTGAAGAGGGAGAGGTGTACCAGGGATCGAACTCATGTCCTTGTGCTTGCAAGGCAGGTGGGGGAACCACTGAACTAAATCCCCGGCCCTGCACTATAGTATTTTAGAGTGAGGTCACAGAAATCACAGGGTGCTTCCCGTTGTAGAACTCCGGAGTCACAGCTCATCAACTCTGGGCAGAGGACTGGTTACGGCAGTGTCTGAAGAGGGAGAGGTCTGCGCTCCTTGGCTGCGTGCCGGCTGGAGGCTCCATCTCACCCCGTGCGCACTCACCTGCTGATGAAGGGCCGGATGTTCTCCCCGGCAAGTGGCGCCATGCTCATGGGCATGGGCTCAGGCGTGGACAGCCAGTAGGAGTAGTCATTGCGGGAGGCGAAGTTGCAGACGTTGTTGATGTTGCAGAACAGGAAGGGCATGGTGCTGAACTTGCGCAGGCAGCTGCCCGCCGTGCCTGGGGACAGGGACCAGCTCAGGACCCGCCAGGCACTGTCACCGGCAGGGAAGCAAGGCACCCATGGCCGCACTCCATCGCGGGTCAGAATGTGGCTCCAGAGATGGGGCCAGGGCCATGCCAGAGAGAACCATGGGCCGTCCAGTCTACAACCCGCTTTTCTTTTCTTTTATTTTTGCCCAAACTTTTTTCACTAAACTTTTGCTTTTTTTTTTGGTACCAGGGATCAAACTCAGGACACTGCACTTGAGAGGCAGGCAGCGGAACCACTGAGCCACAACCCTGGCCCTACTTTTGTTGAGTGAAGAAAAATTATATTGGGTTACATGTAAAAGATGTAACAGTCAATGTGGTGAGTATCAAAACTTTCTTTCAAAATATATTTTTGTTGTAGTTTTTTTAAATAAAAGAAGGCTAAAAAAGAGTAGGATACCAGGTGGACCCACAGCTATGACACCGATCACAGGGGACCTGCTGGGTGTCTGGGGCAGACCAGCACAGGTGTGCGGCTGCCCGCTGACCTCAGCCAGCCCGGGGTGGGGAGGAAACATGCAAACGCGCCCCCTGCTCAGCAGAAGCAGCACAAGCTGTCACGTGCGCTGGGAACTCGGTCCCACCGGGCGGCCAGCGGGCAGGAGCCAAGTCTCTTGCCACAAACACGGCCACAGCACAGCCCTCACTGTCCCCAGCTTCACCGGGACAGGAGGATGATGCCGTTCATCAGGGTGGAGGAGGAAACAGGCTGAGCTCTCCGGGGCCACTGCCCCTGTCATAGCAGGAGGCCTGAGAGAGGCCCGAGGCAACACTCACCCAGGTCCTGGCCGTGGGCCCGCTCGTTACCCTGCACATAGAGCAGAGAGTAGCCGTGGTAAAGGACCTTGGTCCCGGGTGGACACAGCGGGTCCTCGGTCGTCTGGCTGTGCCTGGTCACCAGGAAGCCGTGGTCAACGGACGGGGTGCCTGGGGGCCCCATGGATCCTGGCAGCCCATCGGGCCCTGGGGGGCCTGGGAACCCTCTGGGCCCTGCAGGAGAGAAGGCAAATCGGTTTCCCTTCTACCAGTTTCTGGGGAAGCCTCAAAGCCACTATCGCAAAGGAACTTGGACTACTTTCATTTCTGCAAAATGTCTCCTTTTCACACCACAGAAAAGGCGCTCAAGAACGCAGACGGGAAATGCCGCCCTGTGACACACACCACCGGGGGCTGGCTCTGTGACCACAGCGATCCCACTGCATAAATTTAGGAAGTCTGAGAAAGCGTACTCCTGAATAAAGGAGAACAGACTATCCACACTCCCTGCTACTCCCAGAGAATCACCAACAACCTAATCGCAGTCACACACGCTGGCTGGCCAGGGTGAGAGCGCCCCCTTCCAGTCCCCACAGAGCTGTGCCACCAGGCTGGGCTCTGCTCCCTGCAAGCTCCTGTAGCTCGGGAAGCTACACAGGGCCGCATCACAGCCACCTTCCAACACCACCATCGGCAGCATCTGTCTACGCAGAAAACGACAATCCCTGGGCTCTTTGGGAGCCTGTTTCTCCTTTTTCACACCACAGGGACTAAACCTGGGGCCTTTCCAGTAAGTGGCATCCTGAGCCCCTTTCTTATTTTTCATTTTGAAACAGGGTCTCATTGAGTCATTTAGTTGCCCCGGCTGGGCTCGAACTTGCCACCCTCCTGCCTCAGACTCCCAGGGTTGTGGGAGGACAGGCCTGTACCACCTGGGTCTGTTTCTTCTAAGACACAGACTTCCCTGGAAACCTTGCAAGGACTGTTTTTACTGTCGTGAGTTCTCTATGCCTGGGTCTACCACTTCCCACCCTCAGGCACAGGTAGAAGGCACAGAGGGGAGGCCCCAGCAACCTACCAGGCGGTCCGAAGGGACCCGTCTCTCCTTTCTGGCCAGGGGCACCGTCATAGCCGGGGTTTCCTGGAGGTCCCGGGACGCCCGCAGAGCCAGTCACACCTGTGGCACGGGAGAAAGTGCTCATGGCGAGGCCTGGGAGGTGGGCGCTGCCCTCTCTTATGCCTTTGCTGTCTCTTCCGTCTTGGGGCAGGGACATGCACAAGGCTTGGAGCACCCACGGCTGCTTCCTTTGGAGACTGGGGCCCAGATTCAGCAGCCACTGTCACACCAATAGCATGTGCTTCCATGTGTACGCATGCGTGAGCTTGTTTGCACGCCACTGTTGTCTGGCAGAGAGACACAGAAAGGCTGTGCAGGGCCACGTCCGTGTCCCTGGTTTTGGACAGGGACATGTGACACGGGGTGTTGGGTTCTGGTCTCCGAGCGTGCGGTTCACACGCACATAGCTGCAAGGCAGCTTTCACACAGGTACCTCCCAGCCCCTTGCCAGCCACCCAGAAATGGGAGAGGCTCAGCTCAGTGACAGAAAGACCTTCGGCAGGGTCTCCGGGGATCTGGGGACTTCGGGGGTGTCCCAGCCTATGCCTGCCCCCCAGCTGTCCAACACCGGACCTGTCCCCCACCCGCCCCTGGACAGGACACTGAGGTGTGCGTGGCCCGCGTTCTCTAACTAGGGATAGAGTGTTGCAGCCTGTGTGCCTCTAGCTGGTCTGCACTCTCTTGTGGCCTTTTTAGGTCCCTTTACAGTGCCAGCAGGTTCTGAGGCACATGAAGAAGTCACATTCCACGTATGCATCTGATGGCGACCAGGGGCTCTGACTGCAGGCCCTGGGGAGGCAATGCTGCCCCTCCTGCCCCACGGCCCCCACACAGCCCCAGAGCCTCACCTTGCTGCCCTTTGGGTCCTGGGGGTCCCTGGAGCCCCTTCAGACCTTGGGGACCCTCAGGACCGGGAACCCCTGGATCGCCTTTGATGACATCGTAAGGACCAGGAGGGCCGGGAGGACCTTGGAGACCTGCAAGGAAGAGAGTGCTTGGTCGGTGCCACTGTCCACAGCGGGGCGGTGAGGGCACTGCGTGTCTCCGTGGAAAACCACTGCCAACAGAGGCCTCTGAGCAACACAGCAGTGTCTCGGGTGGCCCCACGTCCTGGACTGGCCAGGCTGGAAATCACACCAGGGCTGCCAGTGTAACCTGTCCCCTCCCTTCTCTGCATCCGCTCCTCCTTCTCTTCCCTGAACGTGCTTCTGAGAGGCAGCGGGCCCCAGAGTGGTGACGAACCCAAGGCACACGCTGCCACAGGACACAGAGTCCTCTGCTGCTGGCCCAGCCGAGGTTTGACAAATTCTTGGCGTACGCAAAACAGCAAAGATCACACTGACTAAGCAGAGGCACACCAAATGCAAACTTTTACCTTCCAATGAGAAGTTGTTTGCATCATTGAAAGCTCTGTTACTGTGTTTTTATGGTAATGCATGAGTTGTTTTCTTCTAAATTAAAACCTCAGTGTTGGCACTTGGCGATAAATAAGTGGGTTTGGGGCCCTCGTCTCTGAAAGGTTCGCCATCCCAGAGCCGAGTGGTCTTTCCAGCGGAAGGTGAAAAGGATGAAGGCTCTGCTCAAGCTGTTTCTTTCCAGGCAGCACTTAGAGACGCCTCCCTCTGCCTCCCCGCCGAAGGGGCAGCACCATCCGCTCCTGAGAAGAGTGCAGTCTGCGTGTCCCGGCAGACATGGCCTGTGGCAGCGTGACTCACCGGCTGCGTGTGACGCGACAGCCTGGCAGTGCCCGGGTCTGCCGCCCGTTGGGTCATTGGCCTCTCCCTGGACTGACAGCCCCAGAGTTAACCAGTCTGCCTTTCGGAAGAGCAGCGATTCCAGCCTACTACACAGCGTTTCTAATCGACACTGTGGAACTGTCCTCCGGTCACTCCACACATGCAAGACCACCCTCACTCTGCGCATCCCAGGTCCCCAAACCAACAGGGAGGTCCCACAAGGTAGCGGATCTCCTACCTTTAGGCCCGGGGAGCCCTTGATCACCCTGATCGCCTTTCAATCCCTGGATACCAGGAAGACCTTTCTGACCTGGACAGGGGAAAACGTTGTGTTTGCACAGCTTCCCATGCTCTGTGAACATGCATGCATTCAGATGCACACACACGTACACACAGGCTGTACATGCATGCACAGGTGTACATATACATGTGAGCACACCCCTAGTACACGCAGACACATGCATGTGGGTGCTACATACACACAGTGAACATGTTTCTAATCCAGGGAGAAGAGAGCACACAAACACCCGATGAAACTGTCCTTTCTGGGGCCCAGATAGCACACTTTCCAAGCAGGTAACAAGCCACCTGCTCAGTGCTTGGTCACACTGAGCAGAGGATATGTGACACTATTTGTGGCCATTTGATTGACATCTGTCCCCAGACAGATCACAAGAATCTGCGGGCCAAGCGTTTGCTTTATTCGCCTTTCTACATCTAATTCAGAAGTGAAAATCATCCCCAGACGTTGGCAGGCCCCTGATAAACATTTGTTTAATGCATTAATAAATTAACGGCCCAGTTCATGAGTTACTGGAACGTGAATGAGGAGACGTGCGCAGTAAAATCAGAATGTCAGGGACATTCTCCAGCAGTACAGCTGGACGGCCACAAAGAGGGCCCAGTCCCCAGGTGCCGTGAGGACTGGACATGGGGTGCAGTGGTCAGGGGGCCTCCAACTGCACACCCACAGCAGGACCACACAGCTCATCGGCTCCTCTCACCATGGAAGCCGGGAACTCCTGGCGGACCCATGTCGCCCTTAGAGCCTGCGATTCCTGGAGAGCCGCCGATACCCTAGATGGGGAGAGGGGAGAAGGACCAATCAGAGACCCACAGTAGGGTCCCAAGTGGCCTGTGGTGAGGCAGCTGAGAAACCCCCACCACCCTGCACAGTACATTCAGGAAAGGATGGTGCTTCTGGTTCCTTGGATGTGTGACAGAAATGATTAAACTCTGTGTGTGCCTAAACTAAGAAACTGGAAATCCCAACCATCTATTTTATCCTTGGCTTCCCCTTTGCTTGTCCAGCCACATGGGAAGGGAGCAAGTGAAAATCGTGCTCCTGCTACCCCCACCCCACAGCATGATGCAACGTACACAGCCAAAACTCCACAGACCCAGGTACCCATCAGCACCGAACCACCCCGAGGAAAACGTTCCCCTAAACACTCAAGCACAGTGACTGCTCTGTGGAATTAGCCAAATGTCTTCTCTGAAATCTGATTTTAGTTATGGAAAAAAGATGTTAAAAAGCAAACACTTCCGAATTATTTTACTTCAGAATGTACCAATACTCATGGACTTAAGAATATCAGTTCATCTTCTACTATTTCAGTAGGGTTGCTCCTTTCTGAAGGCATAGGCAGTGATGTAAAATGTTGTATTATCTCTTAAACAGATTTGTTTCAGTCAATCCACAGCAACACCAAAAGAAGAGATTGGTTTCTTTGACTTACCTTATCTTAAAAAGTAGCATAACCAAGATAACAATCCTGAGTGCATATTTGTAAACACACACACATTTGCATGTGCACAGGCACACACAGAAGGAGACACTGGCTCTAGGAAAGGGGTCGGCATTTCTGCACAACTGAGGGAGAAAGGCCAGGATGTGGGAATAACTGAGACATAGTCACATCGTGGGAATGGTACCACAGCAAGAAAGAGCCTGAAACCCACTCCCGCACCATCTTCTGTGGCCTGAGCTGTGCACACAGCCTGCACGGGAAGCAGGGAAAGGTGACTACTGTTGCTCCACGCCGCCTGCCCTGCACAGTTCCTCGAGTTTTGGAGCCGGCTGGTGCGAAGTCGCAAAGCCCCACCGGCTCTTCAGAGCATGGCCTGGTCAGCAGACAGAGCTCACCTGCTCCTTGCGCATCACCAACCTCAGAGAGCCTCAGGCCTCAGGCGCAGAGAACCGAAACTGTGGCCTCCACTTTAGCTAGGGTCACTGCGCGGGCCACAGCTAAATAACAGCACAGACACACAAACCCGCTCCGGCACCTCGCAGGGCCCTGAGCTTGTCCTGAGCCTGACCAGTCACCAGGAGACGTCGCTGTCCCGAGGTCTCCAGGATGGCAGCTGTCAGTTACGGAACATAACGGGCTAACTGCAGCTTTCGGAAACCAGTGCAGCTTGGCTTTTCCCACCAGGTTTGGAAATGGCTTGGGAACCTAGCATCAGCTGGACTGGACAGCAGTGCAGCACTTCCTCTCCCGTGAGTCTTGAAAAAATCATTATTTATTGTCATAAAGTCCCCTGCCCTGCTGTCACTGGCATGAGAAGAAGCTGGCTTGGGGCTGGAGAGGGTCCCACACGTGCATATACCCCTATATACACAAGCAAGCGCACGTGTTCGCGCGCGTGCACACACACACACACACACACACATCCAGAGCTGACATCTGTGAGTGGAAGAGGCTCCTTTCCAAGAAAAGCCCGGACTCATAACTCACCGGCAGGCCCTGGAACCCCAGGTCTCCCTTGGGCCCTGGGACACCAGGCGCTCCCGGCCAGCCTGGGTTCCCCTTTTCTCCTTTCAGTCCATCCAGCCCAGGGAGCCCTGGAGGCCCCATGGGTCCCGGAAGCCCTAATGGGAGAGAGGAAAATCCCAGGCGTAAGGCAGGCAGTGCTGTTCTGTACACCACACCTGGGCTACAACTCTGCCTGCCGCTCCCGGGGCCCAACCGTCCCCAACCCCACACTGTGTGTGGCTGTCACTGTGCAGCATGGCCCTTGGGAAGGCAGGGAAGGTCCTAGAACCAGAGGACACAGACACAGACTCCTGTCTGCCCGGGGTCACCGTGCTGGGTCAAGCAGCCGCACTTGAGGAGGAATCGCCCAGTATCATGCAGGGAACAAACACCCAGGGCACCCACACTGTCTTTTTCAGCAGTGGCCTCTCATTGCTCCCTCACCACAGAGCTTGAGCGAGGAGACCCGAGAACCTGACCCAAGACCAGAGCCCTCTGAGCCCCAACTCTGCATCTCCATTGAGGGGGCCACAGCCCCAGCACTGACACCTAGGCAACGCCCTCACCTGGCAGGCCAGGTTGTCCCTGCGGTCCCCGGTCTCCTTTGGGACCCTCCACGGCGTGGCCGGGTGCACCAGGTATGCCAGGCTGTCCCTGGGGCCCCGGAGGACCCATCAATCCTTGCTCGCCTTTGGATCCGGGAATTCCGGGACTCCCAGCCAGTCCAGGGAAGCCCACTTCGCCCTTTGAACCTAGAAAATGGGGACAGCTTGAGGTCATGGTGAGACCAGCACAGCAGAGACCATAGCACATTCCTATCCTCCCTGACCTCTCCGCGAGGTCTCCCCAGGAACAAAACTAACACAGAGGCTCCATCATGGCCCAATTGCAAGCAGGACCTGGCTCTTTCTGTGCACCTCAAAAGAAAGCAGTGCGCCCCGGCTAAGGTTCTGAGGAAGTGTCTGGGAGCCTTGGGCCACAGCCTGCTGAGATGTAGGTGCAGATGGCTCCCCTGCAGGTGAAGGCTCAGGGCTACACGTGAGGGGGCCCCACTCAGCCAGCGGAGGAGCAGCCTACTGAAACTGACAGCAGGATGAGCCTCCCAGGTGACGCTGCTAGAAAGAGCCCAGACTGAGCACAAAGTGTCCGCCTATGTTTCCATGCACTGTGGGAAACGCAAGACATTCTGCACTGCTGAGTGGGTGGAAGGCTGCTTGGGGAGCGCAGGTACGAAGGAGCTGCGAGTAGCAGGGCTGCAGAGGTGACAGATGCCACACCAGCCCGGACACACACGATCACATTCACATGTGAGTCAAAATGCACCCAACGGCACACTTTAATCTGCGCAGCTGACTGTGTGCCAGTAAACAGTGACAGTTAAGACGTGAAAAAATGTTCAGTTTTAAACACATTACCTAAAACCTGACAATAAAGACGCCAGACCATGTCTGGCCCAGGCCGGCTCTACACACGGTACCCCTTCCAGCCCGTGAACCCCATGCCTCTGCAGGTCCACCTGTCCCCAGGTCCCCAGGCGCCTGGTTAGAGGAGGAGCTGGCTGGGAGGCCCTTACCTTTGTCTCCTTTGGCCCCTGGGTACCCTGGGAACCCTCGTCCGGGGAGGCCTGCAAGGGCGGAGAGCACCGGTTCTCATCAGCCCCAAGAGGCCTGCAGAGGCCCACAAAGCAGGGTCCACGCTGCTCCGAGAAGAAAGTCCTCCATGGGACCCACAGAAATGAGCTCCATGAGCCCGGGAGCAGGACCGAGTCCGAGACCCCAGCACTGCAACTGGGCGTCATCACTTAGGACTTGTCCCTAAGCACCTTGCGGGCAGAGCCACTAGGCAATCAGCAGAAAGGATCTGCGCATGAGTGTGCACTTCCTTTGCTGTCTGGAGACACACACACGCTGCCCGAAGGTGAGCCTCCAGCTCACACCCTTCCCAAAGGGGGTGGGAGAGCGGAGGGAGGGGGCCACAGACAAGGGGCCCCAACGTGGGCAGTGGGCTTGAGGGGACCGGAAGGCGGTGGGGTGCGCGGGCATCTCTGCAGGAGAAGGGACACACGGGAACCAGGACAGGGACGCGGGGTGGGCAACAGAGCATGGGAAGGGGCCACACTGGCCAAAGCCCTGCATGCCTCCCGACCCACAGCGCCTTGCGTGACATGAGCACCGCCTCCCTCACTGACAGGAGCAGACACCAAGTCCCCATGACGGGTCTCAAGTTGAGGGTAGGAGTTTCATGTTGCTTTACTACAGCAGGTACAAGGGGGTGGCAAGGGACAGCACAGGCTGGGGCTGGACATACCTGGCTCGCCCTTCTCCCCTGCTGACCCCGGGATGCCATCACTGCCGGGCTCGCCCTTCTGGCCAGCGGGGCCCAAGGGGCCAGGGGTCCCGGGTAGACCTGAGAGAAAGCCACAGTCACGCTCGGAAAGGCCGGCTTTCCGGGAGCACCTTCCCCTCCCCAGAAGCCCACGGTGCTCAGGGGCCAGGCAGCAGCTCTTACCTGCTTCTCCTTTGATTCCAGGGATGCCATCCAGTCCCGGGAGACCCTTGTCACCCTTCTCCCCCGGCAACCCTGGGCTTCCTAGAGAGGACACCATGCAGAGCGTGGTCAGGCTTGGTACTTGTCTTTCTCGACTACAGAGCAGGAGGGGCCTGTGCACCTACCTGGGTATCCGACGCTGCCCGGAGACCCCTTGGGGCCCGGAGACCCCGGCACGCCCGGCATCCCAGCGCTACCCTTCTCTCCCTTCTCTCCGGGGGTGCCAGGGAAGCCCTCCAGCCCTTGGTCGCCCTGTGGGGAGAGCCGGGCATGTTAGCTTCATGCCTGTCCCTGGATGTGTGCATGCAGGTGCCTGCTGGGCACTCAGATGCATTCTGAGGCTCTGAACCCTGCACCACAGAACCCTAAGACCGGATCACTCACCGGGGACTCAGTCCATGTCCGACTGCCTGGGGGCCAGAGAGCCAAGTGGCTCCTTCCTACTAGCCAAGTCCCTCTGTGCCCCTCTTTCCTCTGGATGGCTCTCGAGGGGCTTCCAAACGCCCCCTCAGGGAGACAGGGTGAGCAGCAGGGCGGCGCAGGTGAGCGGGAATTGGGGCATGCATGGGGACCCCGCCTGCACCTGGCAGCTACAGGGAACTTTTGAGAAGGGGCAGAGGCTGCTCACCTTGTCACCGGGCCGCCCAGGAATCCCAATGCCAGGCAGACCTGCCTGTCCCTTCTCTCCCTTTGCCCCTTTCAGTCCGGGCGAGCCGGGGAGGCCCTGCTGGCCAGGGATGCCGGGTGCACCCTTTTCTCCAGGTGTTCCTAAAGCAGAATGAGGGGAAGGCACATGAGACCAGCTAGTGCCACAGGCAGCCAGGAAGAAGAACCCAGATCCTTCAACATCAATCTGCAAAGCATGCTGCTGGGTGGGCATCACCATGGCAGCCACGTCACGGCCACGGTGCCACATGATTTAAATACCGTCACTTGTAAACAGAAGGATGCACCAACTACTTGAAATGCCTACTTTACGAAGAGTAAAAAAATGGGTTTTATTATGTGATCAACTCCGATGAACCACAGCATCCTCGGGGTCCAGGACCCTGCAAGGGGTGCCTCCCTGCGTGGGTTTGTGATGCGTGTGGGTTCCACACTGTGCAGGTGCAGCCAGCAGCAGAACACCTGGCCACGGCTAGAGGAGACCAAAGCCAGGCTCACGGCAAGGCTCCTCTCCAACAACCCTGCTGGCAACCCAGGGTCCAGTGCAGGCTTCCTGGGGTCTGGGAGATGCCAGCCCAGTGGTCAGGTCACATGGGCTCACCAGTGTCACAGCCAATGTCACAGCCGTGCCCTACATTGCTCCGTGGAGAGGGACTCAGCCACGGCCACGAGCCAGCCGAATGCCACCCAGGATGGGCCCTCTGCAGACATGCCCTCCCTGCCCACGTGCACACGCGTGTGCCAGGCTGACACCCGCCAAGACTGGCTCACCTGGCAGGCCCATTCCACCGACCGATCCTTTTGGCCCAGGCAGCCCCGGGGTGCCCGGTGTGCCGCTTAAACCTGGGTCTCCCTTGGGTCCTGGAACACAAAAGGGGCAGTGCAGAAGGTCAGCACCACTGCACAGGGCAGGGCTGCGCATCCCTCCAAGGGCGCCAGCCACAGGGGCCCCAGGGCCACCTACCTGGCTGTCCCGGGTACCCTGCCTGCCCGTCCTTGCCAGGCACTCCTGGGGTCCCAGGGTCACCTCGGGATCCCTTGTCACCAGTGGGTCCAATTTGTCCTACACAACACAGGCACACGTCATGAAGCCAGGAACTCGGCAGACGAAGAGGGTGCCGTGTGGGGAAGCAGGTGTGTCCTCCCAGCCACCTGCCACACACCTTTCTCTCCTTGGTCTCCCTTCTCTCCCTTCACGCTGCCCATGTCCAGTTTATCCATGGTCCCCGGCTTGCCAGGGAGCCCGGCATCCCCTTTTTCACCTTTCAAGCCAGGGTCTCCCCTGGGTCCGGAGGAGCCTGGGAAGCCGTGGTCCCCTGTGGAGGGAAGAGAAGGAGCCGGGAGACCCGGGCCACCTCATTCCTGCGGCTCCTGGAGCAGGTGATGAAGGGAGCGTACCCGCAACGGGTCCCAAAAGTGACCTCAGGCGGCGAGGGTCTGGCCGCAATCTGATCCCAGAGAAGTGGACAGGACTCATAAACATGTTTTCTAAACCATACCGTGCCCTGGTAACCCTGACCCACGTCATGTGCCTGCGGGTCTAGACCATTTGGCGTTTCCCTCCACCCGCTCTGTCCACGGTGCCCTCCTTTCTAGATGAAAGTCGTGGAGTAGGAAATGTTCCTGTTCTACTCAACAGATTCTTTTCTATGTCTCGAACTTACTCAATTTCCTTTAACAATAATTATTTGGGGCCAATTTCAAATAACAAGACAAAAAATCAGGACTTGAAAAGAGGACTGGTTTGCGATGACTGGGTTCCAAGGACTTCGGTCCTGGGCCCCCACGTGACTGAAGGCCCCACAGAGAGGGTGCCACCCGTGCCCAGGAGGCCCGGTTCTGACTGCACCACCCCCCGTGGAGCACGAAGGGGGACCTGGGCAGCGCGCACAGCTCCCACGACACATGAGGGGCCCAGGGACTGTCAGCTTCCTACCTTTCTCCCCAGGCAATCCTGGGGTGCCCAGTGGTCCTGGCAAGCCCGGCTGCCCTGGGGCGCCCATGATGCCCATTTCTCCCTTGAGACCTGTGGCCAGAAGAAAGGACTGTGACCATCTCGCCACTGGTCCCGGAATGGAAGTCTGGGGCTCATGAAGGAACAAGGCCTGTTCCTGTCACCAAGCCAGGAGGATTCCTGGAGGTCACCCACCTGGGGACCCTGGAATTCCTGGCGTGCCCTGCTGTCCGGGAAGGCCAGGCAGCCCCGACTGTCCTGTTAGGCCGGGAAGTCCTTGGGCCCCTTTGTCTCCTTTCGGGCCGGGCATGTCCAGTCCTGGGAAGCCGGGGAACCCCTTCTCTCCCTTCAGTCCAGGAGGACCTGCGAGTGCAAGGCCGGTTAGAGGAACCTGTGGGACGCTCTGCAGCGCACAAGCCTCCCCTGCTGGGGACAGCCACCCTGCACTGTCCTGCAGTGGGGCCAGCAAGACAGTCGCCGGTAACACTGCCACGAGCCCCTTCCTGCCATCCGCGTCACAGCCACCCTCTCCAGCCCGCAGCTGCTCTGCCCTCTGCCGCACCTCCGTGCCTCCAAGTTGTTACTATAAAGGGGAAGGCAGCGAGAGCACCTGGCGAGTCTGAATCGCCGGCGGCTCACTCGGCCTCCTGTGAGGATGACACGCAGACATTGTATCCAGGAAAACCTGCAGCCACTGAATGTGGGCCACTCCGTAGGAAGAAAGAACAGAAACCCAGGACTGTTTCAGCACTGACCCAGCTATCCACAAACTAGACTCTGCTCTCTCCCCTAGGTTGGAACCCTGCTCCTCTCCCACCCACCCCCTGCACCCTGGGGAAGGGCTGGGTCTCCGGAGCCTGGCGTCACCTGATGAGCCTGGCAGGCCCTGTCCTCCGGGGGGACCCATGGCTCCAGGGGGACCGAGTCCTGGAGCCCCTGGTGGGCCTGCGGGGCCCTGTGCTCCAGGAGGTCCAGGGTCACCTGGAAGGGAAGGATAGGGAGTCCGTGGGGACTGTCGCACGCTCCACACCGTGCTCACCCACACCACGGTCCCCCAGTTCTCACCGCCCACCCAGTGAACCCCCGGCAGGGCCCCGGGCCTGAAGCACAGCCAGCCCAGCCCGCCCAGCCCCGATGCAGTCACCTCTGATGCCCTGAAGCCCAGGGGGGCCAAGCGCTCCGTGCTCCCCAGGGATGCCTGGTCCCCCGATGCTGCCCTTCTCTCCAGGGGTGCCAGGGATACCAGGAAGGCCAGGCAGTCCTTTGAGCCCAGGGAGACCCACTCCAGGCTCTCCCTGAAAACCCCAAAGAGAAGACAGTTAATCGGCCACTCCAGGGCTGTCACCGCACCGGCAACATCTGCGGAGCGGTCACTGAGGCCGCTGGTGTGTTCGGTAAGAACAGCGTCCGTTCAAGCCTCAGGCATTTGCAAAGCTTTAAGTCGGGCTGGTGCACAGCCGAAATCCCAGCCCTGTGGGAGCTGAGTGAGACCCTGCCTCAAACCAAAGAATAAAAAACTGAGCAGGGCCAGGGATGTGGCTCAGCATGAGGCCCAGAACTAGAAAATAAAAGCCTGCAACGCCTCCTCACTACTACCTTCCTGTCACTCTCCCCACAGGGCCCAGATGTAGGGAACTTTTACTGTTCTCATTTTGCCAGGAAGGAAAATCAAGACCCAGCTTGGCCTTCGCCTCTACAGCTGTGTGCCGATGATGAAAAGCCAGCCCTGTGTCTGACGGGACCCACCTGGGCCGCAGGAGCAGGCAGGACAGCACTCATTCAGTTTCCTTTGTAAGCGAGAGGCTCTCATAGCAAACTCAACACGCAGAAACCCCGCCTGAAGCAGGAGGCTTTGCCCGATGTGACAGTGTGAGTAAAGGAAGCAAAGGCTATACTTTCAGGGATCACTTCTATAGTTGGAGTAAAGGAAGCCTTCTGAAGGGCCACAGGGCATTGGTACGGCCTCAGTGACAGCTGGTTGAAGGGAGCAGGAGTGTAGAACAGGCAGCACTGCCTGGTATCACCGCATGTAACAGCAGACAGGCAGAGCACCTGGCCCGCCAGCGGCTGTTTCCACATACCCTGGCGGGAACCCGGAACGCGTAAGGAGCTCCACCCAAGGGCTTCTTGGAAGCTCCAACGGGCCCTGCCGCTCTCACTGTGGACGCTCCCACCCCGGGCAGTGCGGCTCCTCCCTCCCCGTGTTGTCGGTGGTCTGCAAGAACCCACTCATCTCTGGCTGGGACGGACACATGCCGCTTCTGATCCGTTCACTTTTCCCTCCCCATCTCCTTCCCAGCTCGGCACAGTTCCCTGCCTCCTATCCCTGAGATAAAATCCCACACTTGGGGGTCCTGTGGATCCCGGGATGGAGCAGAGGCAGCCCAGGGTGCTCAGAACCCACCTTCTGGCCAGGCACCCCTGGGCTGCCAGGCAAACCGTTAAATCCCGGGCGGCCTGGGATTCCAGGAGGTCCCGTGTCTCCGGGCAAGCCGTCCACACCTGCCCGGAAGATCCAAGCAAACATCATGGTTACACAATGCCCACCCTCTTCATGTGTCCACACCCGGGCCCAGAGCCACAGGGCCTTGGACAGTGCAGCCACGCGGTCTCCACGCCACTCTTCCTCCCTTCTCAGGCCCACCCACCTCCCTCCACCTCTCTACTGCCCTCCAGAGCTAAGCAAACCACCCCGATCCTGCAGCCTGGGGCCCAGATGCTGTGACCCTCGGGGTAGCTGCACAGGACCCCCCAGGCGCAGCCAGCTCTCTGCACCCCTAACGGAGCCGTGGTGCACAAACCCGGAGCAGCTCTGCAGCCGCCTGGCTCTGCAGCAGGGCGTGGGCCACACCAGTGCTGCTGCCCCACCACCATGCACCCAGTGCCACGGGCAGCCGGACTGAGAGCCGCTGGGGCACTCTCGGCAGCGACACTGGGGGCTGTGACACTGGGCCCTAGTCACACGCCGGGGGCCGGGGGCAGACAGAGCCCCTGGTGAGACCTGCCAGCCGCTGCTTCCCAAGCCCCTGCTATTACAGGGACCAGGGCCTCCCCACGATGACAGCCACAACGTGGAGGGAACTCAGGGCTCCCAGGAGTGGCCAGCCTTCACACTGGCCTCCTGGATGCCCGGTCACTGAAGGGAAGGAGCCCCCTGCATGGTGGGTACATGTGGCCCCACAGGACAAGAGCCCATCCTGCTCTCCAGGCTGAGCGGTCCACACCCATGAGAGAGCAGGCGCTCTAGGCAGGACCCTGAGGAGACAGGCAGATGAACCTCTCCCCCAGCTCTGCCCTAGGGATCAGAGCTCTGCTCTCTGTCCAGCCCAGGGCCCCCGTGGCCCATCTGGACAGCTGTCTGCCTGAAGGCTGGATGCACCCCCAAAACCAGGACGGCAGAGGTGCAATTCCCTCCTGTCCTTTCGGTTGCAGAAAGAGGTAAAGGTCCCAGATGTTGAATCCCCGTGGGGTTCCCTCCCCTAGTGCAGAGCCCTCCAGATTCCGTGGACGCCCCCCCAGCTCCATGCCCATCCTGCAGGGCAAGCTCTGAACTGAACAGGGGAGGCCACGCCCAGCCAGCCAAATGTCCTCATCTGCAGGCTTCTACCCTAATAGCACCTCCACCACAACAGGAAGGCAGGTCACCACCTCAGGGACCTGCAGCCTCACAGAAGCACCCAGGGCCTCACGGGCACTGGTGTCCCAGCTCTGCTGTCTCCGCTCCTCAGAGTCACACCAGGATGAGGTTAAGAAGCCTGGCCAGATGTTCCCTCCCCAGGCCTCTGACCGCAACAGTCTCCTATGCAGGGCTCATGACTTTACCTTTGGGACCCGGAGGCCCAGGAAATCCAATCCCCGGCTGGCCCACAGCACCCTTCTCCCCAGGGAGGCCTGGTCGGCCCGGGGTCCCAGGGAATCCTCGGTCACCTGCGGTGAGAGAGACCAAGGGTTGGTGCAGGAAGAGCGTGAGAGAGAGTGGTTACTGGTGAACTGAAATTCAAGGAGTACCTTGGGGTCCTGGGAATCCAGGGGACCCTGGGAGCCCATCTGCTCCAGGGGGTCCAGGTAAGGGAACAGCCCTTCCTGCTTCGCCTTTTGGACCTGAGAAAACACAGCAAAAACATATAGTTGTCCTCCACCTCCCCACGACCCCTCAGGGCTCAGGGAGCTACAGGTTCCTCCTCAGCACACACCCAGTAAGCGAGCACTCTCCCCCTCCATGCCTCCCCTCTGCCCTTCTAGAATCTTCCACAGAGAGCCGCCCTTCTCCCAAAAATGGACATCAAAATGACCAAGCTGTTTGCTGTTTGCTTTCAAAGACTTCTTTGAAAGTTGTCAATGAGGCTTTGGGGAGTTGAAAACTCCACAGTACCACAGGGCAAGGACGTGGGTCATGTCCTCACTCGCCTGCCCCAACTGCTCAAGCACCCTTCCCAGCCTCTCAGCTCGCCACCTGCTAAGTGCCTGTGACACGGGCCTCACTCTGCCCACCTGGTGACCAACTGCACCACAGGATGAGGGGTGGTCACACGTCACCCCGCACCCCCAACATGGCCATGCACCCTGGGGCCCCCATGCAGTTGGCAGGGAGAACGCAGGGACCCCTCCAGGGAGGGAAGGGATGCACCAGACCCTCCAGGAGCCACAGGCAAGAAAATCGGCCCCGGAACATCCCGCCTGTGTCCTGTCAGACTGTGGGAAATCACTGACTTCAGCTCCCAGCCGCTAGCAGCGACAGCCCAGGAACAAAGCTTTCACGGTCACCAAATAAACAGCGCTGGGGATCAAAGGCCCGCCCTCTAATGCAGAAGCTGACTGGGTCTGCACACAAGGGACTTTCCAGAATGTGGACAGTCAGTCGGCAACAATGCAATGTCCTCCTCCCGTGCCAAATCTTCCCTGCCGTGCCAAATCTCCTTGTAAGTGCCTACTTTGATCTACCCTAACATGGTCCTTTCTGGTCTAAAAGCCTAGTTTCTCTTCACAGCACCAAGCCTGGCAGATTCCAGAGACAAAGAACACTGATTTGCTGACTTGGGAAGCGGGAAACATGGGGAAGTGGTCAGAGCTCTTTTCCAGCCTCCCTGGGGCCTTTCTCAGTCATCCCGGAGTCCCCAGCTTCCAAATCAGACACGAGTCATTTCTGGGGTTCTTCAATGAGGAACAGTTAACCTCGGTGTCCCATGGTGGTGCTGGGTTTCCTGACTCCACAGATCCGAACCTGACACCCACAGAGCCCTTAGCTCCCGCCCCGGGCCCCCATCAGAGACCGCTGATGGCACCTGTGACGCACTCCTGACTCCTGTTTACACTGCAGTGAGGGCATCATGCTCCTGAGGGGGCAGAATTGATAAACCTGGCTCGACCCAAGGACAGAGCAGCAGCTACACAAGGAAGAAGAACCCCAGTGGCTGTTCCTGGAGACCTTGATTATCTCGCCGCCCACTTCCACCTTCTTCAACCTTCTTTCAAGGGTTACTGGTCACACTTTCAATCACCGAAGCCCCTCAGTAACCTTTCCAACATTTAGAGCTCTCCTGGTTACACACACTTCTTCCCTCCTCACAGCACAAGTCATCCCAGCCGCCACCATCTCATCCCAAGACCTTGCAGGGACCGACAGGAGGGTCCCTGTCCGCTCGTGTGAGAGAAGCCACCATTGTGAGCCCACCTAGCCCGGCCGAGGGCTGCAGCTGCTCCTTCAGCCCCGAGAGAAGTGGGTCCCCCGGGAGCCGGGGCCACGTCCGTCTGTCCCACCATCCCGTCACACCGGGCCTACTGCCAGGCACAGGAGCCTCTGAATGAGCCCCAAGCGCTGAAGCCAGCGTGTGAGCCAGTGGCACTCGGCACCAGAACCACTGCAGAACCAGCCAGGTTGGCCGCGGGAGGAGGTCCTGAGACTCGGCAGATACAGCAGCAAAAATGAACAAAATTAGAGGGGAGGAACGGCCTCTTGTTTTCACTGCACACCGGAGGCTGGAATGCACTGTCAGCTAGTTTACAAGGAAAATCACCAATGCTGCAGGATCCTAAGACCCTACATGCGACCTGATTCATCACAGATATGAAGAAGAGGTTAAAAAACAGCTGGAACAGGACCCGCCGGGGCCCACCTCTGCTGGACACCCCAGCCCCGTGCCTCTGGGACCCTGAAGCAGCATCTAGATGCCCCCCAGTCTCACCTGGCAGGCCAGGGGCCCCAGGGCTCCCGGGAAAGCCTGCTTGTCCTTTGTCACCAATGGGCCCACTGGGACCAAATCCTGGAGGCCCAGGTGGGCCGATGTCACCACGATTGCCAGGGAAGCCAACTCCTCCAGGGGGACCACGTTCTCCCTTGAATCCTACTGAGCCCTGCAGTGACACGAGGAAAAAGGAGAGCTTGTCACCAGGAGACAGGAGGACGTGACCGTCCACCCACACTCTTCTCCGGGCTGCAGGAATAAGAGCAGAGTTCAGGCAGCTTGTGGGATTTACTCCACGAAGCCCCACGAGTTCACCTGTAGTTCATAAGCGAAACCAGCCCTCTGCTCCCTGGGCCTGAGCAGCGGCCCCCACCCTGCAGGACAGGCTTTGGGGAGCAAACGCTGCTCCCAGTCTTCCTTCAGTCACGGTTCAAACTCTACTGGCTCTAGAATCAGCCTCCCACCGACCACACAAACCTCTCCTAGGCCCCTGAGCTGTCAGGAGAACTCACCACTGCTTAGCCCTTCGAGTCCACCCTGCCAGCCCCTGGTTTAGGACCATGATGCCCAGCCATGTGTGTCAGTCGCCACACAAATCAAGGTCAGTGGGCTTCAGTGGGCTTCATTCACATGACCCCTTCTTCCACACTCTATAGATGTGTGTGGGGAATGCATGCTCCAAGTCGGGGGACAAACGTACCGGGGAGCCTTTGGGGCCGGGCAGTCCTGGGTGGCCGTCTCTCCCAGGGGTCCCTACTCTGCCAGGCATGCCGGGCTGTCCTGGAAAGCCGGGGTCTCCTTTGTCACCTTTCAGCCGTGCGTCGAAGATGATCTCGCCAGGCTCCCCCTTGGCTCCCGGATGGCCAATCAGCCCCGGGGCACCTTTGGGTCCCTGCGGAACAAAGCCTGTTGACGCCTCTGGAGGAGACACAGCAGAGGACACGCCAGAGTGGCCACTGCGGGAATCAGAGGGATCAGAGCCCACTGCTCATCGCTAGAAGGAGGCCCCGGCTGCCCACTGCGTGTGGCTCCTCACCAGCCCCGACTTCACAGTTTAGTCCAAACAGGGTCAGACGGGCCAATGCCATTGGCACCCTGCTTGCGGAACATCCTGAGGGTCACTCTTTCTCCTCACTGGGACATTTTAGCTACCGCTGGGGGTGCTGCGTGGGCGTATCTCAAGCCCAGGGACTATAGACCTCGCTTCTAAGGCCAGGAGCTGGCTGGTGAGTCACCAGGGCTGGGAACAGCCATTGTTCTCACTGCAGGGCATTTCTGAAATTTCATGGGTTTCCTTTTGCATTCAGGCCCCAAACTCCGGAAGAGATAAGGGTTCCAGGGCACCAGAGGGGGATTCTAGGAAGTAGCCAGGGGCCAGCTCTAAAATTAGCTGGTCTTGACAAGCTGCGTGGACTTTCCCAAGCTCTCCCAGGAGACGCTGTCCAGAACAGCTTCAGTTCCTGGAAAGTCGGATCTGCAACAACACCCACACCAGCAAGGTTTCTGCTGCAGCCACCCTGGACCAGGTGCTTGGGGAAATGGCAGCAGTCATGTGGCTTCGGAGGCTGGGGAAAGCCACTTCCAGCTGACTTGCAGAATGAAAGCCCTCACACAGTCCTCCCATCCCTTTCCATAAACACACGAGGTTCTCAGAGTGACGTGACTTGCAGGCGCACGGGCACACGCAGCTCCACACACCTACCACAACTGTCCCTGGAAGGCGTGAAGACCAGCATGGGCCAGAACCTACGCCATCTCTGGACTGCGGAAACAGCTGCCACTGTCACCCACCCGCTACGTGTGGGACCCTCGTGGGCCAGCCCTGGCTCCACTCACGGGGGAGGCCTAGCACCCATACCTCTGCCTCTGCGAGGGGTGGCCCTGGGACCCGAGGACACAGCCCACTTCACCGGGCACCCCAGCCCCCCTCAGCCTGTTCCGGTCACACAAGCTTCCAAGTCTCTTAGAGCCTCTGTTCCCTCCCAAGCCCAGCCACTTGGCTTAAAACCCAAGAAATGCGACCAGAACCCAGAGTATTCCCCACTGCTTCACCCCGTCCACCCTCTGGGGGTCTCTTCCAGCCTCCAACCAGACTGGAAAGACACAGACTATATTTCTGGGCTCGCTGAACCTTGGAGCTGCGATATAGCTTCAAACTGAAGGGAAAGGACTCTTTGCAATTAAATTATTCACCCATTAAACTATTTTTAGAGGTTTTTCCAATCTAGGGAAAGAAGGGGCCCTGACAGAGGCAAGTGGGTGAGCGTTTCCACTGCAGGTCTCCTTCACTTTCGTCTCCACTGTGATTTCCCCTCCAGTGCCCTCTCCTCTTTGCCCTTCTCCAGCTTCATCAGATTTGGGCTGGACTCCAGCCCAAGCTCAGGCAGGAAGCCTGCAAGGAAAGCCAAGCAGATACAGGCAGATGGACAGAGGTTAAGAGACCCTTTCCTGCATCCTTCAAAGTTCCTCTGACTCTAATCAGCTGTTTGAACATCTCCTTTATTCTGAGATATTTTAAACAACTCCAACTTCTAACTCAGCTCCCAGGCACCAAAGAGATTCTGGAAAGCAGGAGACTGGAATCCAACTTCAAAAGGACAGAGCCCTGCAGAATCCCAGCTATGTCCTGCTGCTCTGGTCCCCTTGTGCCCTGGTCCTCCCTGAGATCTGCTCCCAGCAGTACCTTTAAAAAGCTGAAGATTTTAAAGAGCTACATTGGAACAAGAAAAGCTAAAGACCTGGCTTTTGATTTCTACAAGGGAGAAGGGGAGGGAGAAGGGAATGAAAAGAGGTGAGCGAAGCTGGCTCACGAACCTTTGCAGAGCCCAGGGAAGGGGGAAGAGCACACCCTAGGTCTCAGGCCTTGGGGATGGGGATGTAAATCTGCAATCACACATCATCCTTGGGTTTTTAGGCTGATCAGCCCTCACCTATGCAATGATTTCTTTTTAACAAAGTAGGAGCGGTAAGGAGCTGGTGCTTTGTTTAACTAGAAGATCTCATGTGGACACACTTGCGAAATCAGCTGGGTGACAGGAATTCCCAGCACACACGGCCAGAAGAATGGAGAATATTTCAGCTGCAGAGGCAAAGGTTGGCTCTGCTCTGTCTCTCCATGGACACTCGCTGGGAAGTCCCTGTGCTGGGATCCGAGGAGCAGGGGCTGTGCAGACTGAGAGCCGCTCAGCTCAGAGCCTGTGGCCACACTTGGGGCAGGGACCGAGGCACACGCCGTGGCCTCTCTCAGGCCAGGAGGCCACACAGGCCATTCCAGAGGTGCCCACAGGCACCGGTGATAGCTCCCAAGGACCCAGGCCAGCAAGTGTCTGAAGCCATAGACAGCTGTACTTACAGGCACCCCTTCGAGGCCGTCCCTGCCTGGCAGGCCCCTGTCACCTTTGGCCCCTGGCTGTCCCGGGAAACCTGGAGAGAGACAGAAGCACAGTGTCGGGAGATGACCCCCCAAGCTCCCCTGCTGTGCAGATGCAGCTGTGCATCCCCCAAGCAGATGAAGGTGGACACCCAGGATGCGTTCAGAAAGGTCACGGTGAGCCCAGGTGTACCAGGTAACAGGGACCAAGAGGAGACGCTTCCCCCAGAGCCCAGAGAACCAGCAGGTGGCCCTGCCTCCCGGGACTGCGGCAGGCCGGAGGACAGGCTGCCCGACTTGATGTGCCGGGGCAAACCTCCAGGCAGGCGGAGGCTCTCACTGCCCGGGATCAGCTTCAGAGGCAGAAAAGAGTCCTGGGAGGCGCCTGCGTTCCAAGCCCACTGTCACTTGCTGTGTCCTATGGCAGGTTTTGGGGCTTACCAATCTCCCCTGGGGGCCCCTGTGGCCCGGGGGGCCCTCGGAGTCCTTCCATGTCGCAGACGAGGCAGCTGTCACCTTTCTGGCCTGGAGGGGAAGCACAGGGCGCTCATGAGTAACGTGCACAAGTCCTGCTGTGACTGGGAGGACCAGAGGTGGGCACGCCTGTCACTAAGTTGCCACAGTCGAACGTGACTCTGTCACCACGGCCACTGCCTGCTGTCCCTGCTGGAGGCTAACACCCTGCCTGGGTCCCTCTCACGGGCCCTGGATGCTCCTGCTGACCTCCCCACACCACGCACAGCCTCCTCCTCCTCCCAGACAAGAAGAGGGGCTGCTGGGCCCTGTGCAACCCAGGGGCGCTGGAAGAGGCTGTAACTCCATCCCCTCCCCAGGGGGAGCACGAGAGAGAGGTAGCATGGAAAAACCTGGAGTCGCACCTCCCCAGAGAGGAGGCACGCAGAGTCTCACTGTGCGGACTAAGGGGCAGGCCTTGGTGCCCCAGCTACGCCTGTGTGCGATCCTGACTGCCTGTGATTGGCTGTGCTGGGGAGAAGCCCACACACAGACCCATTCGGGAGGCTGAGGCAGGAGGGTCATAAGCTGGAGCCCATTAGTGACTTAGCAAGACCCTGTCTCAAAATAAGAAAGGGCTGGGGATGTAACTCAGTGCAAACACCTGGAGTTCAGTCCCCAGTCCTGGAAAAGGGTAGGGGAGCAGCTCATCTTGGAACGTCGTCAGCTTCAGTGACTATAAGGACCCAATAAAAACCAATTTGGGGCAGATTTAACTGGGCGACCCCACAGTGACCCCAAGATAGCTCCCATCCTGTTCCACGAGTTACGTGACTGCGCCAGTTCAGAGATGCCAGGGAAGCTATCTTCCAGGAAGCGTTTGTGTTTGGGTCTTTTGAAGACTCGAGATTCTTTACAACCCATGGATGGGAAAGGCACACAATGGGGCCGATTCTGTGGGGGCTCCAGTTTGTTTCCTCTTGCAGTAACGGACCCATAAATGTCAAAGCCCACTGTTCACTCCACTCCGAGACAGGGCGGAGGGCGTGGGACAGCTGTGGAGGGCAGCATGCGTCCCGTGCAGACCTCACCACCAGCTCTTAAAAGGCCCCAGATAAAATCAGGAGCAGGGACAGCTGGCTGATCCTTCACAGCTGTGTAAAACCGGCTCACAGGCGCTGTAGTACGTGGGACCTGGCCTACAGGAAGGATGTGCGCTCTCGGAGTAAAACCCTGACTTTGAACGCACAAAACACATGGGGGGGAACCCTGGCACCGGCGGAGACCGTACAATGATCTGGTGTTCAGGGCTGAGCTACCCAGCCCAGGTCAGCTCTCCCGCCAAAGCTCAGCACTCGACAACCTGGCAGAGTCCAGGGACGCTTACTCTGGGGAAGGATTTTGAGGACAGTCTTCCAAAACAGAACTAAAGACCCAAAGCCCCTGCGAGTCTGGGAAGGAAAATCCATATGCATGAACATGATTTTTTTTGTACCGGGGAGAACTCAGAACCTTGCACTTGCAAAGCAGGTGGCAGAACCACTGAGCTAAATCCCCGCCCCTGAACATGATATTTCTAAAAATTAAAATCTCTTACCTTTCTCTCCAGCTTCGCCCGACAGTCCGGGCTGCCCTGGGGTCCCGGGAGGACCCTGGTCGCCTGGCGGTCCTGGCTGACACTCCACGATGCCATCTGGAATTGAGTTTCAGAGTGAGAGGGTCACCACCGGGCACAGTTACTCTCTCTTCATTCAGCCTTTATTATAAAACCAGGGTAATTTGGGCTGACTGGTAGGTTTTAGAAACCCAGCTTTCCTTTGCTTCCCTGGCACTAGGTACAGTGGAGGCCTCGCTTTGGTTGCTATGAGCCTGAAACAGGGACTGGCGCATGCGGCCCTGCCCGCCCATGCCCAGAAGCACAACAGCCCTTGCATGTCACCGTCCGGTGCAGGGTGCAGCCTGCGCTCTAGGCTCTGCTGCACTCCCTCTTCCGTTGCCAAAGCCCATGCTGCCGCCTGGCTCTGCACACTAAGAGAACGAGGTGCAAGCAGTTGGGGGGCTCGTCAGGGCCAACAACTTTGTTCTTTCTTCCTGGGCAAACCTGCAGCGCAGGATCATTTCAGCGATGCAGACTGCCCTTGAGAAATGCCTGATTCTTCGCTTTACTCAATCCTAAGCATCATTTATGTAAAGAAGCGGCATGGACATAACTGACAGCCCTGCAAACACCACCAGTGAGGGAGCCACTGTTTTCTGGTTCAGATGCACACTGTGGCTGAGTTTGCGTTTCCTGCTCGTCTTTCTGAAGGAAATGACAGAGCGGAGCGTTTAAGAGCCAGCACCTTTCGCAAGCACCCCTGGGCCAGAGCAACCTCCTGCTCCTCCCCTGAGCTTCTCGCCAGTGGAGACGTCAGCAACAGGGGCTTTGGCACCTGGGTGCCCCAAATCCCCAGCAGCAGCTGCATGAACCATGCCTGCCTGTCAGGTCCCTGCCACCAGCGGTACTCGCGCACCAAACACCATGCCCTGCTGCTCCAAGACTCGGTTTACGGCTCCACTCAAGAGTTGCAGGAGCTGAATCCGGGAGAAAGCCTGCTGGGCTCCCGCCACCCTCTGACCTCTGCACCACGGAGACCCATTAGGCAACGGGCCTCTGTGTCTAGGCTTGTGAGAGCAACCCCTAAACCCCGAGTGCCTGAACCTCGACTCAGAACCGTAGAGAAGCACAGAGCAAGCCCCTCTGACTGCCACGGGCAGGCTCACGAACACAGGCATGACTCGAATCTGCGCCTTTCCCCCAGATGCCTCCTGTCCTCCCAGTGTCAACCAGAACCCTGCCCGTTCCTGGTGAACCGGCAGGGATACGGCCTCACCAGAGCACATCTAAAACAACTCTGGTCTACAGCAAGAAGGCAGTGATTGTTTCCAGGGAGCTCCAGAACTCAGCCCAGTGCCGGCCCGTGGAGGTGTCTATGGTCCCAGGTGGCCTCGAGAGGCTGCTGGTCCCTGGGACAACAGCCGGCAGCAGAGACCTCTCCGGTGTGTAGCCAATGAGCTACTGATGGGCCCCAAGCCGCAGTGGTTTTCAGACACAGCCTCTTTAGCATATGATTTAAATCTGAACAAAAACCTCACATGTAAATTATACTTACTGCTCCACGATTGGGAATTACTTAATTAACGTAGGCTACAAAGAGTGAGCTAGTAGCTAGGGCTGTAGATATGCTAGCACCTCTCTATAAATTCTGCTCATATTTTAGAGTTTGCAAAATCACAAAGATCAAAACCACAGTCTCGCTTCCCTGCGTCCAGGTCTCAGCCCACGGCCCCAGGACTCCGCCCCCTTTCCAGATCACACAGGCCCTGGGCCCTCCAACACCCCCGCCCCACGGCCACTCTCCACTTCCTGTCCCCTCCTCCCACAGGGGCATGGGGCAGGCAGTTGTCACCCCAGCACGCTCAGGGAACAAGGAGCCTGCACACTGGCAGACAGTGAGGCTGGACAGATGTCTCCAGGCACCCGTGACTCATGCTTTTCCTCATCTCACGAAGTCATGGGAAAGGAGGGCCCCGGAAGTGGCACAGGATCTGCCCGTTCTCCCACCCCGCCCCTGTTGCTCCTTTCCCAGGAAGTGCCCAGCCCTATCTGCCCTCCCTTAGAAGTCTCTGCCTGGGAACTCCCCTCCCTTTCAGAAGGGTGGGCTCGAATTCTAAGAAGTAAGCCTCACTCGTCCCAAAGCCCACGAATGCGACTGCAATCAGCCACCCCGAGGATTAGCACCTCAGATGCTCCAGGAGCCACGGCCTGCCCTGCAGGACCAAATGCTCTTTGGAGATCAGAAACCCACCCACTGGACATTTCCCAGAATCCTTCGAATTTCCCAATGGTGTGCTTGGGTCTGCATAAGCTCCCGGGCCACTGTAGGACACCCGGAGACGAGCAGTCACACCACTGGAATGAGAAGCCATTGACTGTGTTGGACGGGCACTGCCAGGACCCTGCCAGGACCCTGCTGGACCCTTCGCCCCTGCCTGTACCTGTACCTGAGACTGCAGGAGCTTGGGATGCTCGACACTAATCATTTCTTTAAGTCGGTTCTTTTTTTTTAGTTTAACACCTGCTTTCCATTGCCTGCTTGATTCTGCAAAGCGACCCAAGCAACGGCGGGACATCCAGACTTCCAAAGCACCGGCTCCTGCATAAGTCACAGTGCCCACCGGACTCCAGCCTGGCACCCACAACGCCGTCGCCAAGGGAACTTACTGGTGTGGCCTGGCCGCCCGGGGGGGCCAGGGGGACCGGGGAGGCCGGGGGCCCCATCCTTTCCACTGAGTCCAGGCATTGACACGCCGGGCGGGCCTCGATCGCCTTTTTCTCCTCTCACACCGGGGAAGCCGGGAGAACCAGGCTGCCCTGGGGTGACAAGGCCTGAAAGCAGCAAGCGTCACGTGAGTGGCTCGGGCAGCGGCGCCCCCACTCCCTGCTGCCTGTGCCCAGGTACAAGGGTGACGGCAGCATCGCTCAAGGAGCAGCTCCAGACCAGCACAACCCGCCAAGCTGCAAAGGACAGAGCCAGGGGCACACGTGCAGGCAGCAGAGAAGGCTATGAGGGAGGCAGGCGGGGCGGGGGCGGCAGCCCACAGGCAGAGCACCCACAGAACGACTGGTCAAGAGCTGGGCGGGGTAGGCAGGCGGTTATAAAAAGCAAGCACGGCATCCACCAGGGACGGGTGGGAGAGCAGAGTGGCTGGAAGGAGGACGGGTGAGAATTTCAGGGTGAACACGGACATTTCACAGAGGGAGGAAGCCAGGCGGAATAAGGCCTGCTCTGGGTTCCCGGAGAAAGGGAAGGGGCCTCTGGAGAGATTAGAAGCTAGATCCACCAGGCAGTGGGGGAAGAATGAAATTAAAATCACCAAGAATAAAAATGAGTTAAAAAATCGGCCAGACATGGTGGAACAGGCCTGTAGTCCCAGCACGCAAGGAGGCTGAGGCAGGAGGAGTACAAGGTCCGGCTGAGCAACTTAACGAGATTCTATCTCAAAGTCAAAGTTAAAAAAAAAAAAGGGCTGGGGTGCGACTCAGTGCGAAGGCCCCATGTTCAATCCCAGTGTCACTAAGAAAAAATAAAAATAAAACTAAACTAAGCAAAAGGCTCCAGGGCTGCAAGGCCACGTTCCCAGGGGACGGTGACCGTCGCTGACCAGGGACGCTCATGTGCACACACGGCAATGGGCCCTGCAGGCACAAAGCAGCTTCCGGAAGGGCCACGCCCAGCAGTGCTGGCTCGCGGGAAAGCAAGACGGGCGCTGTGGGCAAGGTCACCCGGGGCACCCAGAGGGGAGCGCGGGTGAAGACGCCTGGAGGGAAGGCACCCATTTGGGAGCCAGGGTCTGCAAAGGCAGGGTGTGCTCCTGAGGGCGGGAGGAGGAGGGCAGGGTCTCCAGGGAGATGGGCCCACCCGTGATGTGGGCAACTGAACAAGTGCCGACAGGCAACCTACGGACTGCTAAGCACTCGCCTAGAGACGGGTGACACTTGTGCCAAAGTCTATGCAGGTGACAAACACGGGCAGAGCTCAGACACAGAGAGCTGACACACAGTCCACAAAGACTCGGCTGGGGTCTCACCTGGAGGCCCCTGCTGGCCTGGAATTCCGGGGTAACCTGAACAGAAACAGAACCGGCCAGCGTGAAAAGAGCCGCTTCTCCGCAGCACCTAGCTGGGGCAGCCACGGTGCCCGCTCCCAGGGACCCGGAGGACAGCACGGCCACCACAGAGCTGGGAACGCTGAGCTCCGGAAGCCACAGGGAGAAAGGTTCCCAGACACCCACTGGACAGTGAGGAGGGCCTGGACCAGACACGGAGACCTCTGGGGAGGGGCACGGGGAGGCGGGGACAGCAGGGCCGTACCTTTGGGGCCCGGCTCCCCTCTCAGCCCGGGAGAGCCTGGGTAGCCTCGGTCTCCCTTTTCTCCCAGAGGCCCGGTGCCTATGACCTGAGTCGTGGGAGGAAAAGTCACTGTGAGCACCATGAGAGCAGGCGCCAATGGTACCGTGGCTTTGTCACTCACGAAGGCGGGAACAGAGGCAGTGGGGAAGGCTCGTCTCAGGAGCCACCTGGGGGCTGCCATGGTGACACTGGGGCCATGGTCACTGGATGCGGGCCTTGGACACACACACACACACACACACACACACACACGACTTCACAGAGCGTCACGGCCGTGTCCTTCAGTGTCCTGGGGCCGCACGGCACCGGGACACTCAAGGTTTTCCACTGCAATGATTCTTTTGCTTTTTCCTTCTTTAAGGACCAAAGTGGGAGCTTCCTCAGGATCTTAGGGTACAAGCCAAGGAGGGGTCTCCCTGAGGAGGAGGAGCTTGTTCACCATGGGTCTGACTAACCCAAATTCAAGGAAAACGGCAAAGTCAACATGGCGTTTACCACTGAAATACAGTTCTTTCCATCAGTGGTGTCAGTGAGTGCTGTGAAACGCTGAGTTTGGGCAGCCTGGTGTAGCCCCTCTGTCAGGCACACCTACGTCACAGCACCTTGCTTGCCATGAGCGTTTACAGTTTCTACTTGGTGACTGAAAACGTGAACTAAAAACCTTTAGTGTAAAGAAAAACTGATAGCATGTGCTGGGTGGGTGGAGGTGAAATCCGTCTTCCAGCCCCACAGGGGGTATTAGAACACAGCAACAGAGCCACGGGGTGTGGAATAGTATGCAGGCAGGAAGAAGGACACACACTTGGGTCCCATAATCCCATTCCTGGAAACACAGCCTAAAGAAAGAGGACTCAACCCCCAGGTCCTTCCATACACAACAGCACACACAGACACGTTCCCCATGCTCTCCAGGGCAGTGAGAACCGCAGCTAATGGGGGTTAGCCTCACATTCCCTGTACCGCACTCATGGGATACTGACAATGACCGCTGTAAAATAAAGAAGGTTCATTTCCAGGAAACGCTGTGCTCCTCAATGCAGGTACACAAAACTACGGGCACAGATACAGCGACGTGCTATTTGCAAGGAGAGTCCAATCCGGATGGTCTACTTCTGCTATGAACACCCTCCTTCGTGGATAACTCAAAGCACACACACAGGTCTCAGCACGTGGCCGGCACTGTTCACACACAGCTTTTCATTCTGCAGGCTTAAGGAAGTGCTGAGACCATCTGAACCCAGCAAGGACAGCACAGCACAAGGCCAGGGTCGAGTGACTCGCACCAGTGCACAGGGAGGCCACGGAAGCACGCAGCTCTGTACTCACAATTCCCGGGGCACCAGGAGGACCAGCTTCGCCTTTATCTCCCTGCGAAGAGAAAGCGGCCTCACTGCCCACTCCCCTAAACACCATCCCGCAGGGCTCCGCTGCTCCTGCCAGGGACACCTGCTGGGCCTGCAGACGCTAAAACTGTTCCTCCTCAGCCTCTGTGCCCCCAGCCACCTCCAGGACAGGATGGCCTCCCCCGGAACTCAGAGGCCGCCATCCTGGGGGAAGTGAGCAGCCTGAGCCGCACAGCGAAGGTGAAACTCGAGGCCACGCGACCACGTACCTTGGGGCCCAGCCGGCCCGGGAGCCCAGGGTACCCTGAGTCACCAGGGAGGCCCTGCAAAGACAGGAACAGCGACAGGCATCAGCGAGGGGCGGGATGGGACTGTGCTCCCAGCCCCTGCAGAAAGACTCACCGGACTCCCGCTGTCTCCCTTTTCCCCGTCTTTGCCAGGCTTTCCCTGTGAAGTAAAGATGCCGGTGTCAGAGGCAGAGTAGCGACAGCATTCCCGATGCGAGCAGGTGGCTCCGCCCTCCGGGCCACGGCCATGTGCGCCAGGGACACGGCGACCCTCAGCTCCGGGCTTCACACACACATGGCCGGGCCTCGGAGCTGAGCCAGGACCAGCGCCTGTCCACTGGGGCCAGCGGGCCGGCTCCACTCCCCACGGCAGACCCACGGCTCTTCCTGTTGTGCCCTCCGGGGACAGTGAGGCCAGGGAGACCCTCCCGCGCTGCTCCAGGAGGGACGGCCGGTCTCCGCAGCACTTACTCGAGGCCCTGGCTTTCCGGGTTCACCTTTCTCTCCAACCCCTGGCATTCCCTGGAGAGAACAGAGAGGGAGTCAGCCATCCGCAGGGCAGGTAAAACACTCAGGTACACAAAGGCCACGCGTCGGGGGAACAAGCTTGCAAGTTCAGGCCTTTGTGGTCTCTAAGGTGAAAGCAGGAAGAATGGATGGGCACTGAGGGTGGACGTACCTGAAAGCCGGGTTCACCTTTCTGACCCTGAGGAGAGCAGGGAGAGAGGGTTTAGGGTGGGTGGTGGGAGCAGCGGTTTCCCATGGGCTACACGCATGTGAGGACCCCACATCCACCAAGGGAGCACCCTGCTCCGCCGCACTCCCCGGGGCCCCGTGTGGGCCCACGGTGGCTGGCCATGGTCCCTCCCTCCCAGTCAGGCTAGACATCCTGGGCCAGCCCAGCTCCACCTCTGCCACCTGCCGCTGAGGCGAGGGAGGGCAGAAAGACTGAGACTTTGTCTGCTCTCTGTGGCCCTTGGAAACCCCCAAACTGGACTCCAGCATCCTCCAGCCCAGCCGAGCGTACCTTCTCCCCTGTCGGGGCGAAGTCGCCTTTCTGCTTCACCTGCGCCTGGCCAGGTACCCCGGGAGGTCCACTGACGCCCTGGTCACCCTGTCCAGGGAAAACCGGCACTAGTGAGCCCACAGGGACAGTGCATGCATGTGTGTGTGCGTGTGTGTGCGTGTGTGCATGCTCTCCCAGGGCAGCCCAGTAGGGACTGGGGGGAGGGGAGGGCCAGGCGGGGGCAGCGGACCCATAGGCGCCGGCACTGTAGCCTCTCGGTGACACAGGCAGCTCAACAGAGAGGGACATTTTTAGGCTAGATGAAAGTCAGGTAGCCAGGGAACCCCGTGCATGGGCAGCTGACAGCCAGGATGCCCAGCTTAATCTGTGAACTGGGGCCCAATCCCAGCAGCTGAAGCAAAACTGTCCCACACAAGGCCTCAAGGAGGAGCTGGTTCTGGGGGAGCCGGCCCGCACGGGGCTGTGGCTGGACACATGGAAACACCCACCCGGCCCCGAACACCCACCTTGTCACCTTTCGGCCCCTGAAAGCTCGAGCCCATCTGCCCCTGTGGACGAGAAAGAGGCTCCGTCATGAGGGCGGGGTCTGCGAGGAGCCAGGCAGCCCTAGGGGAGCAGCCAAGGGGCGGAGGGGTGGAGGACGGTGGACAGGGAGGCGGATGGGTGACACGACAGAGCGACAGTCAAGTGCTCGAGCAGACAGATGACACCGCCTGACGATGGGTCAAGGCACCTGCAGTGACTTCAGGAACGGGCCACACAGTTCCACGACAAACTCACACAAAGGACCAGAGGGAAGGAAGCCGAAAACATCTTTACCTTTTCACCTGGGGGGCCGGGAGGGCCTGGGGGACCCTGTGAGAGAGGGAGAGAGAGAAGAGAGCACCTTGGTCAAAGCGATGCACAGCCCTCATCCGGGCCAGCTCTGCTGAAGTCACCCACGATGAAGGCTGTTACGCCTCCTCCCGGTGCTGCCAAGTGCCAAACCCTGACAACGACCAACACTAGGGCCGGGATGGCTCTCAGCAGGGCAGGAAACGCCCCAAAACCTCAGGCCTTGTCCAGTCTGGGACCATGAGGGCCCACTTCAGAGAGACGCACTCAGGTCCCAGGTCAGCGGCTCTTCAAGGGAACAGATGGTGGTGAATGCAGGGCTTCCCACACTCGCAACAAATGTCACAAGGCCTTTCACACACGTTTAAGAAGAAAAAGTGGGTTGTTTTTCACTCATAAAAATGAGTCCATTATTTACAAAACTATAAGAGGCTACATTTACACACATGGACCGAACATTAACTTCTGGATTTTACCATTAGAAAACAAAAAGACGAAAAATACAAGCTAAGGAGCAGGCATGGTACACATTCATGCCTGCAATCCCAGCACCCAGGAGGCTGAGGCAGGAGGATCACTGTGAGTTTGAGGGCAGCCTGAGCTCCAGAGTGAGGCCCTGTCTCAAAAACAGAAAATGCTGGGAACTTCTCCAAAGGATGCTCCGTTACAGTGCTGAGGGCCACAGCCTGGGTCTGGTGTCTCACCCTGCACCCACGTGGCTCTTATGACCACAGCCCGTAACCAAGGCCTTCCTGTGCCCTCAGAGCTGCAATGGTGGGGAGAAGTTACCCACTTGTGGGAACACTGGCCATGACACAGGTGGGTGGCGCCGTCTCCCAGGTCACATCCAGGCTGTGGCTGCTGGCTGCCAGGGTCCATGTCCACGCCTCCAGGGCCCCCAGCCCAGCCCCAGCTCCCCACGAGAGGCCAAGGTCGTGCAGGCAGAGCCACCTGCCCATCCTGCCCAGTTTTCCCCAAGGGACTCTGGTCCCAGCAGTCCCGCCAGGACAGGGACGTGTTGGGGACGCCAGGCACCTGGTGCCATCCGCAACCCTCCCCAGCTCTAGGGCCACTAACCCAGAGTCCCAGCCCCCACTTCCATGAGAGAGAACCTAACACTGCCACACCAGTCGTGTCAAGGCCTCGATCACCCCATTTAGTCCCAAGCCTCGCAGGGGTCCCCCTAAACTCACTGGCGGTCCGGTGAATCCGGGGGGCCCCACGGGTCCCTGGAGCCCTGGCAGTCCTGGGGAGCCCTGTCAGTGAACAGAGGGACGGGGGTCAAAACACCAGCCGCAGTGCCACCACCCCTGCACAATGGCTCAGCCAAAGCTTACAGGCATCCCTGGCGCTCCCGGAAACCCTCGTTCTCCTTTCAGCAGTGTCCCGGGCACGTGGCCGAGTATTTCTCCCGGTTCCCCCTGAGGATGGAGAAGAAGGGAGAGTGGTCAGTGTCCAGTCTTGAGAGCATCCGAAACCCACAGGCTGCCAGCGGGCTTCGCTGGAGCAGCACCAAGGCCACCGAGCCTGGGCCTCGGGCACTGCTGGAGTGGAACTCGTGGCTTGGCCCTCGCCTGCCACAGAGGCTGTTCCCACATGGGGGTGCTGCTGGGGCCTTGGGCCTCTTGTTATAGCAGCAGGACCTGCTGGCACTTTCGGCTTGGTGGGTGGCACCAGCTGCTCAACAGTAGCGAAGGCCACCAAGAAGACATCTTTTGCGTGGAACTGACATTTGAGCCATAGCCGTCAATGCCACAGAGACCCCACGGCACGGTGGGCCACATCCAAGCAGCCAAAGCCCCAAAGGCAAACAGGCCGTCCCCTCCCTAGAAAGAGGACTTCCGCTCAGCAGGTCCCCACAATGGTGAGCCACAGTGTAAACTGAGGCCAGGCCCAGAGCTGGGAGACTGCACGGGCCAGAGGCTGCTCACGGCTCTCTTCCTGGGCCCCGGCCAGAAAGGGCAGAGAGACAGCCGGGCACGAGGGCTCGCTCCCAACCTGTCCCCCAAACGCCCGTCCCTATGCTCCGGGGACAGCTGGGGGTGCTGGCTGGGCAGGGCCGGGGGATCCCGTGGGATAGGAGGGTGAGTGTGGGGAGGGGAGGAAGGAGGGGCGGAGCGGGGTGGGGAGAGGAAGAGCACGTGCAGGTCTCAGGCACGGCGCCGGGGTCGGTGACTCGGACGCCTTCACACCGACAGACTCCAAGACAGGGTGGGAAGGGAGTGGATTTCCGGGCGCTGTCTGTGGCACCTGTTTTCATCTGACTCCCAGGAGAAGCAGCAAAGCAGAACGAAATGAAGCCTACCTTCATTCCGGGGGGTCCGGGGGGTCCCTGGAGAAGAAAGTTTGGTGTGAGTTTTATTTCTCCTGAAGTATCACTGGCATTAAGACAGAGGACAAACGACAGGAGGAACTGAGAGCCTGGAAAGGCTGCGAAGCTCCGAGAAGCGCATACTCACAGGATTTCCAGCGAACCCTGGCAAGCCTGGCGGCCCGACCGGTCCTCTATCGCCCTAGGGACAGCAGGAGGCCACTCACACATCGGTGACAGCATTAACCCCCCCAGCTCTGTCCGCCCCTCAGAGAACGCGTGTGTGGTCCCACGAGCGGACAAGGAGACTCGCTGACCAGCCGAGTACAGGGACAGCAGTGCCATCTGCTTACTTGATTCGATAACCGATTATGGCTAATGAATTCAGCTCAAGGGATTTTAGGGTAGAAGTCTACAAAAGAGGAAGGCAGGATTTTCTCTCCTGCACACTAAATGTGTGGGGAGCTTTAAAACCAGCACCCTTGCAGTTACAGCAAACAGCAGTCTCTCGCTGGGTCAGAGGCAGAGAAGGACCGGCTCCACACTCACCTTTGTACCGTTGCATCCCGGGATTCCGGGGGGGCCCGGGGGGCCGTCCTGGCCGGGGATGCCCTGAAATGCAAGTGCAGAGGGACCGAGGTTGAGAACCTCGCCGGATGGCAAAACACTTCATGGCGAGACCAAGTGCGGCTCAGTACGTACCGGAAGTCCTGGGTTCCCAGGGTAACCGGATGCTCCTGGCGGCCCCTGCGAGGATGGAGAAGAAAGCCCTGCGATGAGCTCAGGGACCCTCAGGCCCCACCCACGCCCACGCGACAAGGAATCGTGGAGTTTAGCCGGAGCCCATGTGCTGGGAGGGCAGCAGAGGGCAGGCCCAGCTGGCACGGACCGCGTCAAGGCCCAGGAAGGACTTGCACGACACCCCGGCCTCCCTTCCAGAACCTCTGTGATGTCTCGTGTAAAAATAATCTAAAATGCACGTAGCTCTGACACACACTTAAGGGGTCCAAGGGATAAAGCCAAAGTTCACCGGGGAAACACTGTCCTAGCATGAGGACTCACTCTGTGCCCCCGGGAACTCGGGCACTCTCGAGCCACGTCTCCCCTCCACCCGCACCGGCCACCATGCCATTCGGGGCGTCCTCTCTATTCCTCTCTCCCCAGCATGATTTCCCAGAGGTCGTCATTATTTTTCTTTTTGTATTTTCCAGGACAAAGCAGCAAAGAGGGTACGAGGGCGGGGACACGAAGCTCTCATCCCACACGGTGAGCACAGGCCACCCCTACTCACTCGTGTCCCTTTCGTGCCAGGAAGCCCTGGTTCTCCAGCGTCGCCCTGCAACAGAACAAGGTGCCACACGACAGCTCGTCACCCCGAGAGGGCCCCGAGCCCCCACCCATGGCGCCACCAGGCTTACCTTCAGTCCTGGGGGTCCATGTGGCCCCTCGGGCCCTTGCATTCCTGGAAACCCAATGACACCTTGCAGGCCTGGGAGGCCTCTCTCTCCCTGCAGGAAGGACACAGTGTCAGTCAGAGGGCGGAAAGAGGGGCGGGGAGGTAGGGGAGGCAGAGGCCTGCTGGTGGTCAGTCAACACCACTTTGAATACGCCCCCAAGGGCCTGGAGAATTCTTCCTTGATCCCTGACCCAGGACCTCCCTTCCATGTGATTTCGTGCACAGCCATTCTGCATCCCAAGCTCTTCTCCGAGTTTATCAGTTCAAAGTCCTGAGTCACGCGGCACAAACCTTTCACCCCACACCGCGAGTTAGCGGAGCCACTGAAGAGGCTGCAGAGACATCAGCAATGAGAAACAACCGCCAGCATTTCCAGGGCTGCCTCTGCCAGCGCCCTGGCCGGTCCTGTCCCACGGGCCACCCATGGGAGCACACACCGGGTCAGGGACTTCAGGCTCCAGGGCACAGGAAGCATGGGCGGACTGAAGGAAAGGGGCCCCACAGCCCGCCACCCAGAGCTCCAACGACAGAGCTGGTTCCGTCTCCCTGCAGCCTCAGGAGCACTGGGACGGAGGAACACTTCCAGACTGATTCCTGCTCATGGCCGGAGGGCAGCTCCGATGTGCTCGTCCTTAACAAGGCAGAGGCAGCGGGACCCGCGGCCTACTCAGGGGCATGCGGGACACGGCCCCAGCCCAGCACCTGGTGTTCAGGAGCTGGAAATCTCCCTCCGAGGAGAACCGACCTGCGAACAGCCAGCCAACCCGTAAAACAAATCCTGCGCTGCATGTCCCAGGTAGCCAGCGTGTACTCTGTCACCAGGAAGGGAGAGACCCAGGTGCTCCGGGGCCTGGGGTGCAGTGGCTTGGGTGCTGGGTTAACTCTGGCCATGTGCGAGGGCGAGAAGATAAGAGTTTATAATTCTCACCCTGCCAGTGCAGCAGCACAGGGGTAGCGAGGCTGGACAGACTGATTTCCACCATCCTCTCGCGGTCTGCCCAGAGCAGAAACAGAAAGGTGGCCGCACCATGGGTTAACAGGTCACCGGAGCCACCGTTCCCTGCGGTGTCACACAGCTGGGCCAGTGGCCTTGTGTCCACCTCACAGATGAGGACGCTCAGCATCCATGCTGACCGGCCGATCCCACGTCACCACGCTGACCTCCCCCCAGGGACGGACGCTGGACTCTGAATTCTCAGACCTGCTTTCACAGCCAAGACCCACTTTCCCACATGTCACTGAGCTCTCAGGCAACGGCACCCCACGAGCCTCCAATCGGCAGCTGTTGAGGAAGAGTCCCCCGGACACAGCTCCGGCTCCTCCAGGATCCTTAAGGTTCCCAGATTTTTGTCCAGAGAGGTGGAGGAGTAATCTCACACCACCCCTCCCGATGGGAACGGAGAGCAGAGGGCCAGGGAGGCACGTGGCTGGACGGGCTGTGTGCTGCACAGGGACAGACATCCGCCAGCTTCCTGTAGTGCCCGTGGGGAGGGAGAGGAGCAGAGAGCGGCGCTGCCGCGGACGCCATGGCCGGCATCTCCGAGCCTGGCTCCACCCCTGCCGCTGGCACTCGAAGCTGCCCGACACCAGCACGGAGAAAAGAGAACCCTGGGGCATCAGCGCCCACGACACGCGGAGGCCAGGCCGGAGGACATGGCCACCGAAGGATGCAGGCTGGAAACGAACGCCTCCACCGCCACACACCACAGCAGGGACGGTCAGGACGCAGGCCACGGCTGGGGCCGCGTGTGGGCATGGGGAGGGGAGGGCGTGGGCTGGAGCCCCTGCACTGGAGAAAATGAAATAAAAATAAAAGGAGGGGAAAAAGAAAGAACAGAGAAAAGCTTGTAAAACAGTACACAAAATGCTTTGACAAAGTTGCATAGGTTCTCAGGGCAAAAATTACCTATGACTGAGGTGGCGGAGACGCCATCATCCTGAGTCAGACGTCACAGGCTGGACGAGGGTATGTGATAGGGAAAACTTTAATAGTGAAAATTTAGGAAATGTCACAATGTAAGATAACTTCTGCCCCTCACACTGCTTAGTTCAGAATTAACCAATATCAGAGACACCTAGTCTCCTAAAAAAGTTTGTAAGTGAAAAGAACCATTGTTAGCTTTGTTAATCAAACAAGCTCCCTTCCCCCTAAGTAGAGTAGGCAACTGAATGAATCTAAAAGGTAACTTCCCTAACAAAGAACTGCATCCGGGTTGAAATTCAACTGCCTTGCTATCCTGTTTTGGGTGTCTATGAAAATGCAGTGTAACCAACTGAGTAAGATCAAAGCTGTAAAACACTATAAAAGTAAGAGTTGTAGCCCAAAGGGGGAGTTGATCAGGGCACCTCGCGGTGGTCGATCCCCAACGATGGAGTAAACTTTTTTATTTTACTTCCATTCTGCTGCGTCTGTGTGTGTCACTTTTGCCGTCTCCTTCTGTAATGTAAAATTATCTTACAGTACCTAATAAATGTGTCCTGGTATCACGGGTCAATAAAAACCCCAAATCCATAAATCTTTAATCCCCAAAAGCCATTTTAGGTATATGTAAAATTTGAAAGTTCAATGAAATCTTAAAAAAAAAAATCTATAAGAAGCAGGGCTTGGAGGCACATGTCCACACCCCAGCACTTGGGAGGCTGAGGCAGCCTGGGCTACAGAGCAAGGTCCTGCGTCTAAAAGAAAAGAAGCTTTATATACCAACGGCAGAAGTGATGCCTGCTATCCTCAAACATCCAGAGCTTGAAGAGAAGGAAGAAAATGACTCTGCCTGCAAAGTTGAACGGACACAGCATGGCAAACAATGCTGGCCGTTCCAAATTAGGCGTGAAGTAGATTCTCACGCATGGGGCAGCCTAAGCTGTCTGCTTATCATACTATCTTGAGAAATCCATAAAGCGTAGGGACAGCAGGCTCCTCTGCAATACCCAGTATTCCCCTTGCTCTCCAACTTGTAAGAGCGTCAGTTTGGGACCAGGAAACCCTGTGGAGGCCGGTTCTCCTTGACACCCACCCGGGTACAAATGCAACACAGCACAGTGGGCCAGGGCGCATGGAGCCTCCACACCAACAACATCTACCGCTCTGTGTGGACCCAAATAGAGCTGAAACGAGCGGCTACCGGAAGCCAGGTCAGCACAGGCCATCGGCAGCTGTCCCAACGGCCAGTGTGATTTTTGGCGCTGACAGGCACATGGCTGTGGGTTGTCACAGATGACTGCGGTGCATGCCCAACTGTGCTGGCGGGAACTCACTAGAACCGTCAAGTGTGAGCTCACGTTCACCACAGCCTCGCCTGACGCTCCGCAGGCCAAAGGCATTCAGAGCGGAGCCAGCAGCTGTCCTGGTCCCTGCCCGCTCCCTCCAGTAGGGAGAGCCCCCGTCCTGGATGAACCAGCTGCACCTCCCCCCTGGGACCTCGAGTGTCGGTTTCCGGCCAGGCTGCAGATCCCTGAGGGACCAGCTCTCCAGCTGGAGCCGGGATGTGATCCGAGTGACGGGTCACAGGCAATGGCACTGCGGCCTCAGCCAAACATTCCCAGTCCCTGGGCCCAACCAGCCTGGGACGTCTGTGGGCCATTTCCGGAATGCGGCTCTGCCGGGAACACTGGGCCGGCTGGGATTCAGGTAGGGCTCGGTGACAAGGCCCTGGGAGCTCCACACCGGGAGAGGATGTGAGGGGCAGGAGGAAAGCGGCCCGCTTTCCTGCGGGGGGCCCATCTGGGGCCACTGACAGTGTCCCTTGTCCCCTAAGGATTTGAAAGCCCTTCCGTTCCTGCTTCTGTATCATTCCTGGTCCCTGGCTCTGCTTTTCCTACAGAGCCAGACGCCCTCAGGCATGCCTCTCCCCACACCCCCTCTTCCCTCAGTCAGACAGGCGGCCTGAGAGTGCCAGGGTCAGGAACCTCGGCCTGGTGGCTCCCCCCGGGACAGCAGTGTGGGAAAGGCTCAGCAGCCACTTCCGTCCCCTCTCCAGCCACCAGAAGCCCCTGAGCCTGCCGGTTCAGATGACCCAGGCTTCCAGGACACACGGGGTTGTGGATCCAGGTCAGGCTCTCCAGGCCAGCATGGTGGCAGGCACCTGAGGCAGAGCGGCAGAGGAAGGCTGCATGCCCAGCCCTGGGACTGCTGCGTGGAAGGGTCCCCACGATACGGCCCACACCAGCCCAGGACGCCAAAGTATCTCCCAAAGCCGGTCCAGAGCAGACGCTGCTGGGCTCCGGCTGCTCCACCCACAGGGAGGCCTGGCGGACCTGGGCTCCTGGGACCCAGAGAGCCCATCTCAGCCCTTGGTGTCCACTCAGGGCTCCTGACATCCATCTCAGAGCTCATGGCATCCATCTCGGGGCCCACAGTGCCCATCTCAGCCCACAGCGTCCATCTTGGCCCACAGTGTCCATCTCGGGGCCCACGGCACCCATCTCGGACCACGGTGTCCATCTCTGATCACGGTGTCCATCTCAGCCGTCTGTGTCAGCACCGCTAGGAAGCTGTGCCTGGAGCTCCTTTCCCCGCTACAGCCCACAGGGCAGCTTCAGAAGGCCTGCTCAGCGCCCTGAGAACCGCCCAGAGGGACCCCGGGACAGTCCAGGGAACCCGTATGTGCACATCAGCTTGGGAGGAAAACATGAGCTAAATCACATTCACCAGCTAGCTCTGGAAAACCATCTCCCATGCGAGAAAAGAGCCAAAGCCCCGCCTCCTTGTGAACAGTGTGCCGGTCCCTCTGACCCCCTACCTTCGCACAGGAGCTGGGAGGGGAGAGACCCCATCATCCTGCCCCGCTTGAATTCCGGACCTGTGCTCGAGGTGCGCATGGAGATTGGGGAACGACAGTCTGGTCGGGCTGGGAACCCAGGACAGCGGGGCACCCAGGCCCCCAGTGCCCTACCTGCAGGTCCGTCAGTTTAGCCCTTGGCTGGCTGTCACGGAAACCGCTGTGTGGGTCCAGCCCTTACCCCACTATCCCCTCTGCGATGGGCGCTGGGCACTCCAGGGCCTGCGGGGGCCCTTCCCTGGGGACCCAGAGGAGCGAGGCCACCCCAGGTTGG